AAGCCCTTAAGCCTCTCTCTGGTCCGTGGCGCACGCTAGTAAGTGTCTCTCACCCGCTTAGCGTTACATCATTACTATACAGGCCTACTTTCTCCCTGTGGCAGCCTCAGAGTAAAGCATATTGTCAGATGTTGTAATACAAAGTACAAATAAATGTGCAGTATGCAGTACTGTCAGTGTATAACTATAATTCAATAAGCCAAAACTAGTGAAACAATAATGTCTCTTTATCTGCAGAAAAATATTAAGATGTATTTATTATGCTAACTTTCTGTCAACATTTAAAATTAAGTTTATTTACGTTTATAGTTATCCTCCATGTTCATTGTTCAATGTTGTTCGTTCTTTTCATGTTTATCTGTCTGCAGTCTGCAAACGCGATTATTAGGAACAGATATATAATATGTCTGTGGTAGCTCGTTATACTCAGAATATCTCAGTGGTGAGAAAAAGAATTGCATAGTGAAGTCATTACTGTCTGTGCTCATTTCCATTCGTAACGCCTGGTGCAAGTTAGAGTATTTTCAAATCTTAACCGATTTTAAGAACCCTAACCACAGACATAACGACAGATTTTAATCTTAAGAACGCACACCAGATCGTCCAGTCCAGAAGCAGGACCGCACACTCGGCGTTTAGAAGGTTTAAACGGTTTCAGAGTGGCGTTTCCGGGGACTTTGGATCTCACAGAATCCCACGTGATAAAACGTGACTTCAGACAGAAACAAACATGGAGGCAGACTGTCGTGGTCAGCTGGTTGCACTTGTGTGTGCTGTGTTTTGTAGAGAAAAACAAAGAAGAGAATGAAACTGTGGAAGAACTCGAGGCTGAGAAGAGGGAATCAGCAGGTTCATACAACATTACAACATTACATTACATTTATTCATTTAGCTGACGCTTTTATCCAAAGTATCTTACAATTGCTATACATGTCAGGTCGCACGCCTCTGGAGCAACTAGGGGTTAAGTGTCTTGCTCAGGGACACAATGGTGGATGGGTCACAGTGGGGGATTGAACCCGGGTCCCACACCCCACACAACACACTGGTGACGCGTCCCGCTCAGTTCTGATCAGACTCAATGAATCAATTTGAAATCGGGGTGCTTCCGATCCACTCAGCGACTTAAAGGTTATGTCTGTAGCCATATTTTTTTTAATGCTCATTTTGAAGTATCGCATTAGAAAAGGTTGATGGAAACTGCAAAAAAGTTTTTACGCTCGCTTGAGGTGCTTTTTGCCTTTGTCTAAAAAAAGTAAATGTGGGCAAACGTAGCAAACGTATAAGTCGCATCAGATCAGCTGTTTACGCTGTTGGCGTCTTGTCGGATATTCTCATAACGTGCTGAGACATGGCTGGGAGCAGTTTGCCCTCTTGAAACACATTTCTGAGGACCTCTTTCCAATTTTCCATGGCCCTCAGATTCATGCGACCGGTTTTGTTTCTGGTTGGAACCCATTATTACAGGCATGTGTAATGTCAACTACTGATGTAACCTGGTTTATTCGCTCCAAACCAGCTTATTTTTTCTTTTTTGCAACATTTCAAAAGTCCGCTTAAAATTCACATGACAATTGGAAACTTGGCTTGAAAGCCGCTCATATTACAGGTTCGGCTCAGGAATGCCCCTGTGATTGTCAAGATCCAAATCTAGTATGCTGCCAACAAGACTTCCCTCTTGAGATGTTGTCAAACATCTGTGTGAGATGTCACAAATATCCATCCATCCATCCATCCATGGTCTTACCCTACATCGGGCGAACCCTGGACAGGTTGTCAGTCCATCGCAGGGCCACACATAGACGAATTTTAGAGTCACCAATTAAGTTAGTCCAGGAAGCTGGAGCACCCGGAGAGAACCGACGCAGACACGGGGAGAACATGAAAACTCCACACAGGGTTTGAACCCACAACCTTCTTGCAGTGAGGTGACTGCACCACCACGCCGCCCTATATGTATTATAATGCAGCTTTCTAGGCGAAAGAGAAGCAACATGAAACCAGATGGATTTTTGGTAAAATAACGTTCCTTGCTGGATTGATCAATTCGATTAATCGAAGTTTACAAATGACAACAAAAGAGGCGAACTACAGTGAAAGAAAGGCCGGTGGGTTGTTAAATAAAAACAAAAGAGGACTCAGTTTTTCTTAGATCCTACCAACTTTTCTCTAAACAAAAGGAAAAACTTCCTGTCTCTTACCTAATAAACTTAAAAAAAACAACTGTGCTCCTAATGACTTTATACATCCAGATTACTTTAATTATTTATGTGTGTGTGTGTGTGTGTGTGCACGTAGCTACTAAAGTTGACCTGGCCCAGTCCCCGGGTAGTTTGTTCGCGAGTGCTTCAAAGTGATTGGTGGGTCGATGTTTAAATGGTTTATGATGAGCTTCGTTGTTATTCGTGCAGCTGTCACAGTTCACCTAATGAATTATGAACGTCGTAAATAAAACCCAAACCGTTGTTGAAAACAATGTTTGCACAAGCAAAATGTGATACTGTTGTAATTTGCCAAGTGTAAGATTGTGAGGTTTAAAAGGGAAAACCAGTACCCATAGCTGACAATCTTTGCCATCCATTCAAACCCACATATAGACGCTCGGTCAAGACCCGTTGGCATCGCTTTTAATCGCCCTGGGTACCGCTTTAGCATAGCTTTTGCACGTGTAGGGCTCTGCTGTCAAGTAAGTAATAATAAATATGCAACACTTACACTTTCAAAATAAAACTAGTTGTTAACGTTTAGGAAAACATTGTGGTTTGGGTCAGAATACAAAACAGCAGTACGTTCAGTTCAGTGCAAGCACTGTTTATAACGGCTCAGCAAGTAACTATTTGCAACAGTTATCAGATTATGATTGTTTCTGTGGCCTTTGTGGTCTTTTAATAAGATTTTAAGGAGGAAGTAACGTTTTGTGCTCTCAGTCACCAGTGGTGCGAGCTCCACTGCTGAAAGCCACTGATTCGTTCAGGGAAAATGGTGATTTATTAAAGTCAGTTCACCTGTCTGCTGAACAACAAGGCATTACAACAACATAATCAGTGAATACTTCTAATGACAGTGCAGCTACATTATGGATGTCTGTGATCCGGGCAAAGTCGGTCTGCAAGGATCAAGTTACTGTTCCATTTTAAAGTGGGCAGAGTAATGCAATATAATGCAATAGGCATTACTGTTGCAATCACCAGCAGGAAGCATCGATCTGTACAGAACTCATAACAATGCAAAGATTGAAGTGTTGACATTGCAGTTAGCAGGTACATTTAGCAGTTTTGACTGTTAGAGTGCCGTGGCTCCACACTTATTTAAATACACTTACTTTAAATTTGAATTTAATGTGTTTATGTTGGTGATGTAGATGTTAAAGCTTCGGTTGTTGACACTGAAACACCCGATGTGGCTTTGTTGAGTGTGTATAAATGGCCTTGACCGAGTGATGGAGGAGAAAACTGGAAGTGTCTTCACTGGAAGTTAAAGTGATGATGGAGAAGTGACACTCGAGTCGATAATTGTCAATAGATCAGGATGTTACAGTGTTTCCCACAGGATTTTGTGAGACTATGGTGGGTGGAGGCATTCATTTGGTGCAAAATAAAATGGCTAGATCTATGAAGAACTTTGCACTCTTGTTAACAAATTTGTGGCCTAGTAAAATTTTTTTATCATAAGCAAACTGCATAGATATAAATGGTGATGAAACATCAAAAAAGTCAATTGATTTATTTAATGTTTTTCCAGCAAACGTAAATCAAAGAATAATTTGTAAGTAATTTACCAAACATTTTATTTTACTTTTAATGGACACATGTAAGATGTTTTATGCTTCCTGTGAATATAAGCCAATTAATCTTATTTCCTTACTGTATAAGTTGTGTTAGACTGTATAGAAGAACACAAACACCTTATTTTGAATACCGGACCTTGTCACATGTCTATACCGCGCTTCATTCACCAAGTCCGATGCAATTTGATAAATTATATTGTATGTTGTGCTCGTATTGTGTACAATTGGGACCTAATAGCTTCTCTTCAGGTAAGACTCTCGTGAGAAAAAGACAGAATAAAGTCACTAACCCTGTCTATATGCCCGCTCTGCTCCTATTAACTGCATTTACCATAAAGGCTCTAATACATGTGCACTCCAAAGTTAGCGGCTAGCTTGATTGTGTTCTCACAAACGAGTGACAGTGGAAACGCTGTTCAAACCCTTAGTTAACGTTACCGTAATTGCCTCAAAAGAAAAGTAGTTGTCTTGAAGCCAAAGTGTGTGAGCGCACAAGTTTACAGCAGCAGGGAGAAGCGGCGCTGTAATTTATCCTGACTCACATACACCCCCCTGCTACCCCAGATACTCACTAGAGCACCACATGTGAATTCATCCGCTGCTGAAAATAGTCCCCTACTAATGCACTAAATCCTCCTGTTTGAGAAATCACAGGTGCCAGCTGGATATTTTAAATAAAAGTATTAATTTGGCACCAAAGATTTACATTTTTTTTTTTTTTTTTTTTTTGTGGGAACCAATGGCCTTGGAGCTGGGAGCCACAGACAGGAAGGCAGACGGTACCTAGTGATTGATAAAATTTTATGGGATATTTTGACAATAAGAAAAATGACCCAGCTTCACACTTTATGTTCGTTGTTGAACTTCAAAGACACAGTGACAAAAATATACACAATTTCAAAATATCCCAAATATAGAGAAGTTAAAAACACACGTTATACTGCATATTGTAAGTTCGTCTTTCTTAGCTTGAATACTCCAGTTGTGCTGATTCGGGATCTATATGCATCAGGTAACTTCGATAAGACCAGATCAAATTTTACTGCTGCAGCCTCCATGTCAAAATAGATGAAGTAATACAGACATGACAGTCTTGTTCCTGCAAGTTAGTGAAATTATAACTGAAAGTTTAAAACTCAATTTTTAATAGTTGTTCTTCAATATATAATGAAATTCACCTCTGATTATTTCGCGACTTTTTTCTGTAATGCAGCACTACTTCCTGATCATTTTTGGCCACGATGGACAGAAACCTTTGGAGCTGCGGACCGAGGAAGAGTCAGACTGCAATGAGTGGGTGGAGTACATCCAGCAGGCCAGGTAGGAAGACTCAAATCAAGTAGTACAGTTTCTAGTTGCTTCTCATATTACAGTTTTATTCATTTGCCAACCTGCATCAGTCAAAACTGAAGTCACGTTGTCTAAACTCTTCACACAGCTGGTGAAACAGAAGTGACAATTCTGATTCGACTATGTAAATCCTTAGTCAGGGACAGCCCTAGTTTAGAGCTGCAGACTGAGTTTGAAGCAGGAAATGTTCTTGTATTTTTACAGAATTGTTTCGAGGGGTCGGTACATGAATTATGTATATTATGGTCATTGTGTCTCAGCACCAGTGCTACTGTGGAAACAATAGAGATAAACTGCACTGCAGCATTGAATATTCAGAGATTTGTTTTTTGTTTCATCTTTTTATTCATCACAATGTAGAAAAAATAAAGACGTTTCTGCATTTCTGTTGAATTCTTGTTACATAAACTTTAGTACAGTCAATAATGTAAATATATGTTATTTGTATTCTGTTATGAAACACTAATTTATGTGAAAAATCATTCAAACTTCAAAGAGAGAAGTTCATTATTTCTGTATAAAGCTCTCTATTAGTGTTTTTTAGGTCAGTGTGTTATGAGTGAGAATTGTTGCCAGTGTTTTGGTTGAATGAGTTTATTTTGAGATGATGTGATGATGAAGTGTTTTGGCGGTTTGAGTGCGTTTTGGAGGTGAGATTAACCGTTTGGCAATGCAGGTAATGCAGACTGTATGAAGTGTTTTGAAACAGTGGCCTCAGTTTTGACCGATGTTTGTTAGCAAATCCAAAGAAAACGTACTTGTCCTACATATTTAACAGAACTGAGGCGTTAAATAACTTGCTGGAGACTCAAAGTGTCTCTACATTCTGCTTTCTTTTTGCGCTGATGCACATTAGACATACCAAGTGTTATTCCATATGTGTTTACCATCTGAGAGACTGTGTGTGTGCGTGTGTGATCGCGTGCGCACATGGACGTGTTTCGCTCGCAGCGGTTCACATTTAGGTCACACTGGTGCTGTATTGCTACACTGGTTACATCACAGACTTGATCTCGCCACTCGACCTCTATTCCTCTCCTCTCTCCCTCTCTATTGCTGCCTTTTCTGTCTTCATCTGAACATTCAGTAGAAAATATGATGCGCCTCAAACCACCGTTGTTTATTCTTGCATGATCCCGGCAGGTTGCTGCTTATTGATCTCAGCATAGTTTGTGACTTAACGTGACTCATCAGATAAAACTGAACCCTTGTCTCCAAACACTGCGCCTGTTCTTTTCCCATGCTCCCCTTTAGTTACTCTGACGTCATCATCGAGCGTGAGATCCTGATGCAGAAGTACATCCACCTGGTCCAGATCATGGAGACTGAGAAGGTCGCAGCCAATCAGCTTCGCACTCAGCTGGAGGACCAGGACACCGAGATCGAGAGGCTTAAAGCTGAGGTATGCATGAGTGCATCTGCGTGTGCATGCATACATAAATCCGCATGCACAGGCGCTCAGAAGGAGCACATGCAGATCAAAGCATGCAAATGATCTGACAAGATGGGAAAACACTTGAGTTTAGAGCGCATGTGTCTAAAGCACAGCAGGGCTCCGGTGATTCCAACTCATTACTTCCTTATCATGCAACAGTATATCTTTTTGTTTTAAACCTCCAAAGTGGTGTCATGAATATTTCAACCTCTGTGCCCGTGTTACTCACATGGAGACTGTTGTTGCGCCAGATTCTAGGGCTGAACAAAGCCAAGGAGAGGATGCAGCCTTACCAGAGCAACCAAGAGGAGGAAGACCCAGATATTAAAAAGATCAAAAAGGTAAATTGTTGGTTTTACATAATAATGCGCATGAAAACAAAGAAAGAAGAACAAAGAGAGACCCCTACTGTGCTGTGCCTGTGCAGGTGCAAAGTTTCATGCGTGGCTGGCTATGCCGGAGGAAGTGGAAGATCATCGTCCAGGATTACATCTGTTCCCCTCACGCTGAGAGCATGAGGAAAAGGAACCAGATTGTCTTCAACATGGTGGAGGCAGAGACAGAATACGTCCACCAGCTCTCCATCCTGGTGAATTGTTTCCTGAGGCCGCTCCGCATGGCTGCCAGCTCCAAGAAACCTCCCATCAGCCATGACGACGTCAGCAGTATATTCCTCAACAGGTACGATTAGCTTCGTACAAATAACTCTGACCCTCCGTTAGACTGGTCAATGCTGCTCATAGATCGAAGGCCAAACCCTTGAGAAACTCTATGAATCAGCCTACCATAATAACATAATAATGCTGGCCAACAATATTGTCTTTGACCCCTGACATGTCCTGAACAGTGAAAACAAGTTGTTGCCATCAACCTTGAGATGCAGGATGCCACGAGTTAATCGGGTTAGAGGACTGAAACACTTTTATACACCAGTCAATCCTAAAATTAAATATGGAGCCTAATCCCAGATCAAATGTGCATTGAAGGGCCTTGAATATCGTCTTCTGTGACTGTAATGGTTTGTAAAATGTACAGTACCTCACAAAAGTAAGTACGGCCCTCACATCTTCACTTAGTGATGAACTCACTTTTGTTGCCAGCGGTTTAGACATTAACGGCTGTGTGATGTGTTATTTTGAGGGGACGGCAAATTTACACTGTTATACAAGCTGCACACTCACTACTTTACATTGCAGCAAAGTGTCATTTCCTCAGTGTTGTCACATGAAAAGAAATAATCAAATATTTACAAAAATGTGAGGGGGGGGGGTACTCACTTGTACGTGAGATACTGTGGATATTTTTATAACTTGTCTTGATTTTTGTCTTATCTTTGGTTTTGCAAGCGGAGCTGCTGTGATGCAGGAAAAATGTCAGACTCGATCTGACAATAAAGTATTATTTTTCTTTTGTGTAACAGTGGATTTCTTGCTGGTAGTTTATCTTCTAGTTTAAAGTGAGTGAGTGATTTGAGACCGGTTCTCCCTCTCTAGTGAGACCATCATGTTTCTGCATGAGATCTTCCATCAAGGTCTGAAAGCTCGGATTGCCAACTGGCCCACGCTGGTTCTGGGTGAGTACTGCAGCGCTGACAGTCGAGTCTCTTTGTACAGTTTGCATGTTGATTAATTACAATCTGCATATGCATTACATTACTGCAATGCCTAATGAATGCCCATGGTACATGGTGTTCCTAACGAAGTCAGTGCTGACAGTTTGCAGGATTTAAATTCTTTAAAGCATGATTTAATTCCTGTATGACAATACTTAGTTGGACATTTCAATCAAGAAAAGATCCACAATAAAGGCACGTTGTATCACCTGCTGCGTTCAATCCAGGCTGCTTATAAAACTGCTTCGCTATAACGAATTCTGTAACTGTAACCTGTTTTTCAATTACAGAGCACAACCATGTAAGGTGCACTGCAACTAATGACAGCTTATTAACTACTGCAAGTCAACACCAACCGCAGACTCTCAAACCAGTGTAACGTTATAACTAAATAAAACATTACATGATCAACAATAAACCTGTAACCTGTTTGCAGCCACCGTTAATAATTAACGTGATGGCAGCCAACGAAGGAGAGACGGAGTTAACCTCATGGAGGTCGTAGCTAAAGCAAGAAGCAAGCTAACGTTAGATGGTCAATGCTGAGCTAAACATGTTTACTTGTTGTGTGAAGTTTTAAAGCCAAAGTTTATTATGAATGGCTCTGCAGCTGCCGGTGTCCTCATGCGGCCGCGAGCAGCCGATGCTTCGTGTTACGTAAGCAGGTTCTAGGTAACGCAGGGAAAAACAGCAAGCTCATCAGAAGTTTACTAAAAAATAAACATTGTTCACGAGTCCTGCACCTTGAGTCCGAGTCAAGTCTAAAGTGTGTCTCAAGCTGAGTCTGAAGTCACTGTGTGAGCGACTCAAGTCCCCATCTCTGTCTCAAGGTTATATGTGTTGTGTTTTCTTCTTCCCACCCAGCGGACCTGTTTGATATCCTGCTGCCCATGCTGAACATTTACCAGGAGTTTGTGCGTAACCACCAGTACAGTCTGCAAGTGCTGGCAAACTGTAAGCAGAACAGAGACTTTGACAAGCTGCTGAAACAGTACGAGTCCAACGCTGCATGTGAGGGCCGGATGTTGGAGACTTTCCTCACTTATCCCATGTTCCAGGTACACTGCTGCACGCACGTTTCTAACGTGAAACTGATCAATTATTATTGGTTAAGAAAACCAATGTGTCACCAATGTCACGTCTTCTGTATTTCAGATTCCACGATACATCATCACTCTTCATGAGCTGCTGGCGCACACACCCCATGAGCATGTGGAGCGCAAGAGTCTGGAATTCGCCAAATCCAAACTGGAGGAGCTGTCGAAGTGAGTGCGAGCACGTCGCATTGATATGTAGTGACTGATTGGTGATAATGTTGACGCTAACGGTGATCGGCCGTGTTGTCAGGATGATGCACGACGAGGTGAGTGACACCGAGAACATCAGGAAGAATCTGGCCATAGAGAGGATGATTGTCGAGGGCTGTGACATCCTGTTGGACACAAGTCAGACCTTCGTCAGACAAGGTGAGCTTCCTCCCTGCCTCTCGCTGCCACTTTGCTCCATATCTTTTCACTCACCGCTGACCGTCTCCTCGGCCAGGCTCTCTCATCCAGCTGCCGTCCAGCAGCGAGCGGGGCATGCTCAGCAAGGTCCGCCTGGGCTCCCTGTCACTGAGGAAGGAAGGAGAGCGACAGTGTTTTCTGTTCACCAAACACATCCTCATCTGTACCCGAACATCTGGAGGAAAGCTTCACTTGCTCAAGGTCGGCCTCACCTGTTCACAAATATTTATCCAAGTACACTGGAATTAATAACCATCCTAACAAGTTTAGACAAGTTTAACTTGTGCAAATACAACAAACATAACAAAACATCTATCAAAGGACGGACTTGAATAATAATCAAGTATTTTAAACCCATTGTAAAGTATTAACCCTAGCAGATACATTATTACTTCTTTTATTAAGAATCACATATCATCATCATCATTTCTTTTTCTTTTCTTTTTTACAATATAATAGTAGAACATAAGCAGATAAATAAAAAGATAATTAATAAGTTACATGAAACCCAAATTTAAACAAAAGAAGGGCATTTCAGGGAAATATATGCAATCCAATTCTCACAAATTTCTTAAAATTTCCTAACCGGGAGTCTCATGGAGAAAAAAATTCTTTCCATTACAAAGATACCGGTCTTGTACAGAGGTACACAGGTCAGGGTTAAGCCATTTCTTTGATTGCTTTTCTAGGTGCTCTGCTCAATATTCCAAATAGGAACTCATCAAAATGAATGTATTTGCCAGAAATAATCACTAATTCTGTATAGACATTACACCAGAAGGTGTGAACCTTAGGACAGAACAAGAAAACCAGTGGTAGTGATTGGCTTCCTGAGAGCCACAATATCTCCATAGAGCAGGTGGGACTTCTGAACAAGGTTATTATCGTCAACGAAGACAAACGAAATAATGAAAATTAGATGTGAACAAACATAAAAACTAATGAAAAATCCAAAACTGTAATGTGTATGTATGTGTGTAATAAAATACCTACTGAGAAACCTCAAGCCAAAAGCTGTCCATGTGTTTGAGCATATCTTCCATTGAAATTCACAATATTTTAACCAGCCCTGAATATTATGTGGGCCTGAAATGATAAAGTAAAGGAACTAGTGCTCTGCTGTGGTAATTGTTAATTCTGCTTTTTAATGCAGTCATACATAATATAAACATCTGCCTTTATGAAAAATATTATGCATAATTATTAACAAATGTCACATTCAGGCTTGTTATATTCATGAACAGTTGAGTGAGCGTCAGAATTCATTCATTTGTTTAACTGGAGGTGGATGAATACATACGTAATAAAGTTCTGTTAAAGAGGTTCGTGATTTCAGCAGCTAAGGTGGCTGTTTGCGGGAGGACCGGCTGCTCTTTCCACCAGCCCACACAGCTGTATGAAACTAGAGGCCTTAATGTCGCACAGAACTAGAGAGGGAACATTTAGTTTTAGATTTTCTGATTATACCACATGAGTGAGAAGCACAGTGGAAACACAACAGCGCTGAATGCTGGGTAAAGATGCCATTGAATCCCAAAGAAAGATCTCATTGATGGCTACGTTGAAATCACTTTCTGGCAATTTTTCACTCTGTTACATCTGTTTTTTTTTTTTGTCTCCCTCAACAGCAAGGAGGAGCGCTGTCTCTGATAGAGTGCACTCTCATTGAAGAACTAGAGGCCAGTGATGAGGACTGTGAGAATCTTTTTACCAAAACAACATCAATCCCTCTTGTATGTTTCTCTGTCTTGGTTCCTTTACGTCAACGCTGGCTGTTAACTGAGGCGTGTTTACCTTTTGCAGACAACGCAGCAGGTCAAGGCTTCAACCATCTGGAGTTCAAAATTGTGGTGGAGCCTCCTGACGGTCAGCCCTTCTCCGTTGTCCTCTTGGCTCCGTCTCGCCAAGAAAAGGCCGCCTGGACCAGCGATATCAGCCAGGTAAGCCCGACTGTCTGAAAGCGTTAAAGATCTCTTTAATGTGGGATTAAACTGGACTGAAAGTGTCACCAGATCTTATGTTGCTTCTCCGCCCTCTGCTTCAGTGCATTGATAATATCCGATGTAACGGCCTGATGACCAGTGTGTTTGAGGAGAACTCCAAAGTTTCTGTGCCGCACATGATCAAGTAAGTGACAAGGATTTCTGATCCGTCTAAAAAACAGGAAGATTTAGGGCTATAACCTCATGCATTCGTCAGATATTTTGGTTTTACTTTTATTATGCAGATTAAAGTGAGAGGCCGTACAGTTAACACATGGAATCTAATTTAATCCTGAGTGAAGTGTTGCTTCAAACAAACAAAAAACAAAAAAAAGGAACAGAAATCTATTTTTCTATGTAAGACTAGAAATTGTAAATATAGTACCATGCAGTAAAATAATCATACAATTGAAATTATGGTGGGTTTCTTTAACTCTTAAGGTAAAGTCTTATAAAATATTTATGTTTAAGGATAACCTTGAGGATTTATATAGTTTTATTGTCAACAAATCTGATGAAAAGACCAATTTATTTTGACTCAGTCCCACATACACCAACCTGCCGCCCCAAATACTCACTAGGACACCAAATGTAAATTAATACGCACTGAATATAGTAATAAAAGAAAAAATCCACTATTCCTGTTTACTGAAAACTACAGTGAGCAGCTGTTTTAGGAAATTACTGAGATATTTTTAAACATAAAACTATATTTATGAGGTGTTTTTAAAAGATTTACATCCTCTGTAGGAACCAATGAGCCACAGACAGGAAGGTCGAAACAGCTGACAATAATAAAATATCACCAGCCTTATCCTTTACCTGAACGTGGTGATTTAACTTGATTATTATTGGTTATTTATTGGTTATTTTTTTAGGTCTGATGCCCGACTGCATAAAGACGACGTCGACATTTGCTTCAGCAAGACGCTCAACTCCTGCAAGGTCCCACAGATCCGATATGCCAGCGTGGAGCGCCTGCTGGAGCGACTCACAGACCTGCGATTCCTCTCCATAGATTTCCTCAACACCTTCCTGCACACGTACAGGATCTTCACCACAGCTGCCGTGGTCATGGACAAACTGGCGGACATCTACAAGAAGCCGTTTACCTCCATACCTGTCAGGTACATGTCCCTACGTCAAAGTGCTCCCCCTGGGTACGGTAGATCTCTGAAATAGTCAGTAAACATCACTGTGGTTGTGTTAATTTGTTTGCACATGTTCACCGGCCCTCGTTGTCCCTCCCTCTCCCCTCATGTAACAGACTCATGCATGGCTACATTCACTCCATCTTTCCATTCCCACATGTTCTGTTGTTCTTCTCACTCTCCCCTCATGATTCACCTCCTCTCTTCACCCCACCATACACTCTTCTCCCTCCTCTTCCTGTCACTGTCCCAGGATCGAGCAACATTCATGTGATCGTCTGTCCATCATGTCCCTCTGTCCCGACTACAGTCTGAAGATCACGCAGCTTGCGCTGGACCAGTCCAAGTAAATACCATCAGCAGGACTGGTGTTTCACTTGTGCCAACGTTTGTCAGAGACCGAGCTACAGATCAACTCTCCTCCTGTCTCTCAGGTCTCTGGAGCTCTTCTTCGCCACCAACCAGGGCTCGTGGGCGACAGACCCCTTGAACAACAAATCTCCGAGGCTGTGCCGCAAGTTTTCTTCTCCTCCTCCTCTCTCCATCCCCCCTCGCACCTCCTCCCCCGTCCACTGCCGCAAGCTCTCCCTCAGTTCCCCGATCGGCACGAAAGTGGGAGCCTTGGACCTGTCCACCACGCCTACCTCCTCTGCCGCCAACTCCCCCACCTCCAGTCACTGTCCCTCCATCTCCTCTCCTCCGCCCACTTCAACCAGGCCCCCCTCTGGCTTTTCCTCCCCTCCGCCCACCGCCACGCGCTCTCCCAGCCTCCCCCAGGCCTCTGGGATGTCCTCTCCGCCCCCCTTCTCCACCAAGGCCCCGCTGGACCTCAGCCGTGGTCCCAGCTCCCCAGAGCTGAGCCCAGCTGCAGGGGAGGACGTCAGCGGGGAGCTTCCTCGCCTTGACGCCTTCTGTGGGAAGCTGAGGCGCAGCATCCGCAGGGGTATGTTGCTGGAACACAAAAGCATATGATTCACACTCGATCAGTCCCATGTGAACATGTGTGGGCACACGCCTTAGTGTCGACTCACACATGCTGTTGTAGTGTTACGAAAGTGGAGTTTAAGAACAGGTAAATGCAGAGCTCAGGTAGCTTTTCTTTCACTTGAAATTTGAACATTAGTGCATCTACTGCAAATCTTCAAAGTGTCTGATTTATTTATTCCTGCTATCATTATACTTGAATCTGACACATCACTGTTAGTGGCCTGCCAACCCAAAAAAAGACAAGAAAAGCAGGGACATAAATGGGTCACCGTTACCCAACGGAGGAATAATCGTGCTCTTAGATCACCATCTGGCCACAGCTGACAGCTTGTTCACTATAAATACAGCGGCGGAGCACTAGGTCAGAAAATCTCTGACAACAATTTGGAAAGGAGAGAAAGAAAATGAAGACATAAGTAGAGCTCTTACATGGCAGCAGAGTGCCTCCTAAGAGGAAAACCACATATTGAATTGTTGAAAAGGAAAGCTGTCCAGTAAAACCCAAAACACAGCAGCTTATGATCCAGTAGGTCACAGTCGAGCGTGCGTGCTCATTCAGAGGTCAGACTGTTGACTGTTTTTTGTATCCAGACACAATATTTTTTTATATATAAACATCATCTGGGGTGGTGATGGCGCATGACACATCCACCAATGTGCCCCTGAGAAAGACACTTAACCCCTAGTTGCTCCAGAGGCGTGCGACCTCTGACATTTAACAACTTTAAAGTCGCTTTGGAGAAATGAGTAAATGTTGTAGATCCCTTCTGATACAAATACATGTGTTTGTATTTTACTTTCTTTACTTAATATTATCATAGGATTGTAGTATTTAAAGCTGACAAATCCAGAGCCCCTCAGCTCTACGAAGCTTTTAAGTGTCTTTCTGCTCGATACCCAACCCTTAATAAAACCTTACGCTTTAGCAGACCAATACATTTCTTAGCGGTTAAAAGAGACCAAAGCAGAGCCAAGGAGAGAGTGAACATTGGAGAACTTCATTAGGTCGACAGAATCACAACTCTTAATGAATGTTGCTCTGTGTCTGCTGGATGTGTAAATAAACAATTCTTTACCAACACAATCAACTTTACAAGGTGATATGTATGCCAGTTAACATGTCACATCGGGACTCATAAGTGCCACATTTCAGTGATCGAACAGAAGCTGTGGCATTATCCTGATTTACTTATTTGATGACACGTCGTTTGCTGCTGTATTAATGTTTTCTAAGTGCTTCAGGTGCTCTGACATCACTTTACTGACGCTGCTAAAGGTGTTTGCTGATTTCTGACTGCAGGACCGTGTGTAATTTTTCTTTTTACTTTTTAGTAGCGTTTTTGTGAATAAAAAACAGACAGAGCAGAACACTGAGCCTTATTCTGCAGTTGTAGGGGTTTGCTTGTAATGGAGTATTCTTTTACAGTGTGGCATTAGTACTTTTACTTTGAGTAAAGGATCTGAATGCTTCCTCCACCAAGTTTTAGAATACAGAAATGTTTCTAGCACGAGACCTCGTTGTCTTGTTACTTCATGTTACTTCATGTTACGGAGGCCATGTTTGAGCTGTAACATTTTTTCCCTAACAGCTGTCCTGGAGTCAGTATCTCTGGACAAGTTTCTTCCTGAAACACCAGCCACCAGCGAGGCGGGCGACATGTCTCCCTGCCGCTCACCTTCAACGCCAAGGCATCTCCGCTACAGACCGTCAGGAGGTACATACACACTTTATACATAACAGTGTACAACAAGTGCCTACAGAGCAGGAGCGTGTTGCCCTTTCTCCTCATGGTGTCTCTTGGTTTCTTGCAGCCACATCGGGGGAGAACTCTCGCTGTACGATGTCGCCGGCTTCAGCGTTTGCGATTGCCACTGCTGCTGCTGGGCATAGCAGCTCCCAGGGTGAGCACGACAAGCCATGAAGGTCAAAAGACGCGCAGCTGAGGGAGGGAACTGTTGCGTTGTTGCCACTCTACCTCCAGATAGCATAATTCACTGGCTTTTAACAGGCAGCTAAACAGCAGGAATGACCTCACACATTTAAAAAGATTGCTCTTATGTTTTTTTTTTCTCCCAGGTTTTGGTAGTTCTGAGAAAGTCTGTGACAAAGAATTCATCATCCGGAGAGCTGCTACCAACAGAGTTCTCAATGTGCTGCGACACTGGGTTTCCAAGCACTCCCAGGTGAGTCCTCAACATCTCTTTAAATCCTAGATTAGCAGGACCCTTTCCATACAGTCCAAAACCTTCTTACAAGCTACTCAACAAGTCCTTACGTGCGTCCAACTGCCTCAAAGGTTAGAGGAGACCCGAACCTGTAGAGGACACTTTCAGACCACCTGAGTCTGTTGTCTGTTTCCATTGCCATCACCTCCTGTTACTCCTTTTTCCCCGACGGAGCTGCTCTTTGCTCTGCATGTCTTTTCTCCCACCCAGGAAGCATGCAGAAAGGTCAGCATCCTCCCCAGGGACACTAAAAGGATCATTTTCATTTAAGATTATATAAGATGCTATTTTTGTACCTGGATTTTGTAGCCTTAAAAGGGAGCATGTAGTATTTGGTCTGATTGATGAACACAGTTCTGGGTCAGTGTGGGCAACGACCTTCAGTTGGTGAACTACCACTAATATCAACAGCAGTTAGTATGATAACAAATACAGTGATTATTTTCTATTTTGTTATTCTACAAAAAATAGTTCTGTAAATTAAGCATTAGTAGTTTTACCATCACTACTTTCTTGCTATTGATCAACATTTTCTGCCCATATATATTAACAGAGTAGTTATTTTATTCTACAGGTGCATCTCATAAAATAAGAATATTGTGGAAAAGTTCATTTTCTTTCATAATTTACATAAAACATTGAAACTTTCATATATTATATATTGATTAAACATAAAATGAAGTATTTTAAACCTTTTTGTTGTTTTAGGCCCCATCTACAATACTAAGTTCTAGTTTAAGAACGGGGTTTTAAAATGAATACGATCTCCGTCCACAGCAGCGTTTTGGCTGCGTATCAGAGCTGATCTCCGTCTACATTAAAACGACCGTTCAGTTACACTGGGCATGCGCGTGCCGTGTAATCATGAAGCGGATGTTCTACTCCGTAGTTACAGAAGATTTGGCGAAAGAATAAAGTACTGCAGCCGAAGAATCGCACCAGATTTTATTTTGCCAATAACGAGTTGGAACTGTTACTGAATGTAACACGGGAGTTAAAAGCAGCTGTGGTGGAAAACAGACTGGGAGTCGTCGCAAAATAAACGGCGACATGCACAGTACAAATGTAGGCTGTAAGTGTTATTTGCACGGTTAGGGTTAATATTTTAATAAAAATACTAAATCATAAACACTGTCAGTAGCATCGTGTTTCTGCTTTGCATGACTTATGAGACCCAATCAGAAGGCCAAACGTGAGCGTCTGCGTCATCGTTTCTAAAGTCCTCCATTTTTGCCTGTCAGCACTAAAACGCTACCCAGAGTTTTAAAACGAAAAACGTGGTTGGAAGCGTTTTCAAAGTGAAAACGCAGTAGTGTGGATGGGGCTTTAATCTTCATGGAAATCAAAACTCCAGTATCTCGAAATATGTTTGAATTTTAGAATAAAGAATAATAATACAGAAATGTCAACCTGAAAAGAGCTCTGATTAACTCAAAACACCTGAAAATGTTTCCTGAGCCTTTAATCTTTCAGTCTCGTTCTGGTGCTCACAATGAACTTTTCCACGATACTCTATTTATTCTGACAAATGTTGCAAAGTCACTCTAAAAAAGAGAATATAAGATTAAGATAATGTTGTTAGATCAATTAGAAGCACGTAGAGCAATAATATAGAAAAGAAAAGAATTATGTATCATACAGGACACCATTACTGTATATTACAATGTCAGATACTATTTAAAACATGCAACACAGACGGACTTTATAAAAACACTGAAATGGGGGTTATTAATGTTAAAAGAAAAATTAACTAAGTTAGATGACGTTGTGCTGCATTATAAGACACTGATTGAAACATGCAGAAGCAGAAAAACAGACTTACAGTACATGAAATACATAAAAGACTCGCACTATAAAAGCATAGTTTTTTTTGCTGATGATGATAAATAGTAAAGTATTCTCTAAGTACTTATTCCCTGTCCTCTTGTCTTCTCTTGTACATGTTTGTCCTGTTTATATGTACACAGTGATATCACGTCTATGCTAAATAATGAAAATATATTTGCGGTTTGTAATATAAAGCATTGCCACTACATTTATTGTAACTCGGCTGTAAATGTGTTCCCCGTCAGGACTTTGACATGAACAGTGAGCTGAAGATGGGGGTGATCACTCTCTTGGAGGAGGTCCTGCGAGATCCAGACCTGCTGCAACAGGAGAGGAAAGCAACAACAAACATATTAAGGTGCACAGCCCAGCCAACCAATGTAAAAAACAACAGATATATAAATAATAACAGCAATGTTTCATAACATGAAATCACTGAATCGTCCAGAAAAATGTCTAATTTCAAGCAAAATATTCAAAAGATCATATGCAAATAAATTGGTTTATTAAAATGTTGGTTAAAAAATTATAAGAACTTCCTTGGACAGTAGATTAGTATATGTAGGGTTCTTATATATAGCTAAATATATAAATTAAAATTAATCAAATGAGCACATTCAAGGGAATCAAATGGTTTGTTTTAGTGTCTACCGGCATGACTGATAAATCTTTATTCTGCTTTTTTGCGAGAGCTAAAACATGTCCTTATTTTTCCAGCATTTTATCTTCAGATAGATGAATAGATTTATTATATTATATATTTATATTTATTATATTCAGAAGATATTTTTATTTTCTGGTTGTTTTACATTTGTTGGTCCAAAAAAAAATTACTGGTTTTACTTTTAATTCTCCGCGTTTAGCATTTATAAGCAGGATATAAACATTTAATGTAGTGGAAGCAGATGCAAGAGTTTTCAATGTATTTGGTCTAGTAGGAGAAGTTATACTTGTTGACAAATACTTTAACATCTCCTGACAGCTGCATATAACTCCATTATAGTGTTATTAACCATTTATTAAGTGTTTGTAGACTGCTTATAAATGCAAAATAAGGGGTAATAAAGTTAAGTTTTACTGAATTGGGATGCGATAAATTGTGTTTTTCTGATTGATATACATTTAAATAAACATAATTATATATAAATATGAAATATAGCTACACTTTATATACAATGGTGTCTGAAGAACGAGTAGTTGCAGGACTATAGGCACATGTTCTAGCAGTGTCTGTTTTGCTCTTCAGTGCCCTTTCTCAAGAAGAACAGGATGACGCTCAGCTGAAGATAGAGGACATACTACAGATGGTCAGTACTACAACCTGTCACTATTACTAAGTACTAAACAAAAAGAATGTAGTTATAGCTTTTACTCATAAAGCAGAACGTTTCTTCAGACGACATTTTCAAGCAATTGTTGAAATAATTTATCTCCAGAAAAGCTGTCCGCTACTACACTTCATTGTGGTAAGAATAATGTTGTTGTTATGAAGAAGTCACCCCCTTAATGAAAACCACCAGCTGTGCAGTAGTTCATGTGTATTGTGGTGATTTCTGTCACAACCCAGTCACATAGGTGGAGTCTCAGTATGTGGCGTTAACTTAGTGTGATAGTGTATTTTCAGCCGCTTCTTTCTGTACTACAAAAAGTCTGTGTGTGTTTGTAGGCGGAGAGTCCGAAGGCCGAGTGTTTTGATTCCCTCTCTGCCATGGAACTGGCCGAACAGATCACGCTACTGGACCACATCGTGTTCAGGAGTATCCCCTATGAGTGAGTACATCATCCAGTACAGATACTGGTCTGTTACACCACATTGCACAAGACACAACAAGCAGGTTAGACTTTTTGGTAATTCTTTATTTTACAGGTGTGTAAGTTTCCTAGAAAGAACTATGTGATTTGGTATATAAAACTTACTGGAGAAATAAATACTGTGTTCAGTTAGGAAGACCTAGAGTAATTGGAAGTACAACCTAGAGAGTCAGTTCACAGCAGGAAAGCTGAAAGAAACTTAAACATACGTATATGGAAAGTAAACGTATACACAATGCTGCAGCACGCCTCGTGTTCGGTCTACCAAAGTTCTCCCAGCTAGCTCCAGGCGTTAGTCAAACTGTGTGCTCCAGCTAAAGCGCTCCACTCAACTACCACTGCAGGCTGGCTGGTAGCGCCATCCCTCAGAGCAAGCCACAAGTCACGACTCTTCTCTGTTAGGGCGTCACTTTGTGTTGGAAAGTGGTGGGGACATAAGGGCTCAGATTAGGGGCGTCAAATACACTTCGGTCACGAGACGTGACGATGCACGAGAACAAGACAAGAAGATTTTTAACTCTGTTTTAAAGAAATAGGAAATGCTTAAATATGTGAGCATTAAACACTAAATTTCCTGCTTTCTGGAGACATTTTCTGCTCCAAATTATGGTGGAAATGTCTTTATTTAGAATAAGGAATATAATGCAGTAATCAGCTGCCTTTCTCAAAAGCATTTTCATTTGTTAGTTAACATTTCTTGGAACATTTTTAACAAATGCTTTCTAAAAGTGATGGGGACAAAATCAGCCATTTCAAAATGTGTTGGGGACGTGTCCCCAGCGTCCTCAGTGCAAATGACACCTATGGCTGCCAGCCAATGTCAGGACAGCCGAGTCGCTCACCAGCAAGAGACTCAAGACTGGACACTGCACAGCGCCCCCCTCCATTTTTCACTTCCTTCTGACAAATGTACTTATTGTCAATTCAAACTGGAGTCTGATATGGGCAGCATTTAAAAAAAAATAATGTTCATGCGCAATGACTGCAAAGGCAGAGTGCGTGCAGGTAGGCTTGTAAGTCAACCAATCAATGAAATGTGCGATCCCCTGCGCATTTAATATATAGATTGCAGGGCTGTCAAACGATAAATTTTTTCTTAATCGCGATTAATTGCTGAATTTCAATAGTTGCATGTCTTATTACATGATTAAAATTCTATTATTATTATTATATTATTATTGTCTCATCAACAATTATAACAATTCTTACCAGTGTATCGTGATTAGAAATCAAATTAATGCAAAGAAAGTTAGTTTATGAACTTGACTTTTAGATTTATTTGATTATTTCAAATCAAAAGATGAGACTGAGGTAAAACAATCAATGTCTTAAATAAAGTCTTCCTTAAGCTCGCTTTTCATTTCAATTCTATATCAAAAGTGCATGCACAAAATGTACACACATTATTATAAAGTGCATAACAAACAAAATACTCCATTGCTACATTATTTTTTAGTTCAGTTGAAACCAATGAGGCAGCACTTGCTTTAAGTAGGCGTGCAACAATTGTCTCCCACGACGACAATATATATAACTTAATAGTGCTTTGCCTGCGTCCACTAGCATCAGTGATTCTGTACTAGCTGCATGCTTAGCTCGTTGATGGTAACGTTAGCTTAAGCTCGAAGTGCTTCGTTGATATTTTAATTCCATTTCACACAAGGTGCATACTGCTTTTGACTTGTCAACGTAGCCGTCTGGGAGTTCCTTAAACTAAAACTCGCCATTCAGGACTGTGTTGTTGTTCATCTCCATGGCTGCGGCAGGAAGTAGGAAGTGTCTGTGGCAGTATGACAACAAGTAAGGGTGCATCGAAGGGCCAAAATAGTAACAGCCAAAGATCTTTTTAGCAAAGATTCTTTGCACCAGTGACAGTGTAAAACAAGAATATTTGACACATGCAATTAACATAATTAAAACGCGTTATGAACGGTCCTTAATCTCATCACGATTAACGCGTTAATGTTGACGGCCCTAATAGGTTGCTGTCCCGGATGTAGATCAGGCAGCTGATTCAGAACGCTGCTGCTCGAGACCTCAGTTCTGGGGTCTTTACACTGTCTGTCAGAGAACTGACTTTAACATACTGCTGCTGGTTTATAAATCACTGAATGGTTTAGGGCCAAAAAACATATTTGATCTACGTTACGAACCATCCAGGTTGTCTGGGATCAGGTCTACTTTCTGTCCCCAGAGTCAAATCTAACAAAGGACAGCGTCAAATCTAACCAGCGTTCAGTTTTTATGCTCCGCATATGTGGAACAAACTCCCAGAAACTACAGGTCTGTTGAAACTGTCAGTTCTTTTAAATTAAGTCTGAAGACTTTTCTTTTTACCATTGCCTTTAATTAAATCAAATTTAAGGCTGTAGATTAATATCTTACACTGCACTGTAACTTTTACCTCGTTTTTATTTTCTATTTGTATTTTTTTGTATTTTTTATTGACTTATAATGTTTTTATGTTTTGTGTAAAGCCCTTTGAATTGCCTTGTTGATGAAATGTGCTATACAAGTAAACCTGCCTTGCCTTGCCTAAAGACAATTCCAACAAACTGAAATACATTACCTACCTGTGGACACACTGACTGTCTGACTGTCTGTCCTCCTGCAGGGAGTTCCTCGGTCAGGGCTGGATGAAGGTCGACAAGACAGAGAGGACTCCGTACATCATGAAGACCAGCCAGCACTTTAATGATGTGAGAATAAACAGAGAGCCGTGCATTGCTGTCTGCCACACACGGCAATGTCACTACATGTTACATCAGGGCTGCCCACATAATGCAGCCTAATCCAAGACCCCTGCATTGAATTAGACCTGAATTGATTCATCGATTATTCGATTGACAGAAAATTATTCAAGGTAATGTGTCATATTACAGCACGGGGTTGCACAGTGAAATGTAAGTTTTAGCGTCATCATGCTACACACAGAACATACAGTTTAAAAATAGAGTTAATTTCACACATATATATATATGTTACAGAAAGTAAAACTTCTGTAGTGCATTTTGTGAATGCACTGCGTCTGGGGGAACGTGAAGCAGCACTCACAAGATGAGATGTTTACAATATATTTATATTAAACTCAACATCTACTGCTTTGATAATTGATTAATCAACAAATATGTCAAAATTTCACTGGTTTCAGTTTTTCAGTTGTGACTATGTGATGCTTGTGTTTGTCATATATGATAATCAATAGAACATCTGTGGACTGTTGAATATGTTTTGGGAAATTGTTCGGGCATTCAAAATCTTTTTATTTTTTTTTTAAAGATCATTCTAACATTTAATATACGAAAGGATTAATCTATTTAATCAAATAATAATCAGGAGATAATTCAACCACAAAAGTAATTGTTAGGTGCAGCCCAACATGAAATCCTACCTTCATGGAGGTTATAATGTTCAGTTATTGTTGTTGTTTTAGAGACATGTTGATGATCATTACCAGGTATCGAACTGCAGCTGCAAGTGCTGTGGCGAATAAATACCAACTTTAATACTAATACAAGAAAAACTGTGTTAAAAGATGGATGGTAAATGGAGTAAATTATTGGCATTCTTTTAGGTAGTAGTTGGGTAGTTTAATCTCTTAAATCTATACATCATATTGAAAGTTTATCAAATATTTTGATTGTAATATCATTATCTGCAAAGTGACGTGTACCTATAGATGTCAAACAAATGTAGCTGAGGGGGGGAGGTCTCACATTTAGTGATTTTAAGTAAATGATAATGATTTTTTTTATCCATTCGGTCGATAACATTTGTCCCATTTTAACCCCATTCAAGTTAGCAGACGGCTAAACTGAAAGTTGGCCGGCACGCTCAGCGGAAGTCAATACAGTCAAACGTAGAAACTCCACCGCCAACTAGCGTTTTGGCGGTGTAACGACTCAATGCACAAGTATAAATGCTCACAAAGGTGTGAGGACATGTAGCGTAGACTATAGTATAAATTGGCCTTAAATGTTAGAAACAAGCCCCAAAGTAACATAAAAAAGTTATACTCAGTCATAGGTTGTCTGCCCTGATTGATATAAATAGGGTGGACATAATATCAGAAGCACCTCTCAGGATAAATCACTAAAAACTCCAGCAGTGTAGGATATTGGCTGACACTCGTCAGTAACGTAGAAGCCTCTCCCTCGTCCCCTCACCACAGATGAGTAACCTGGTGGCGTCTCAGATAATGACCCACACTGATGTGGGCTCCAGGGCCAGCTCCATAGAAAAGTGGCTTGCAGTGGCTGATATCTGTCGCTGCCTCAACAACTACAACGGCGTGCTGGAGATCACGTCTGCGCTCAACCGCAGCGCCATCTACAGGCTGAAGAAGACCTGGGCAAAAGTCTGCAAACAGGTTGGAATCCATTCATTCAACATGTTACGTTACACGCTGCACACAAACCTATAATGAGTTTCCTTTGTGTCTTTTGTAGACGAAGGCGCTCATGGACAGGCTGCAGAAGACGGTGTCATCAGAAGGGAGGTTCAAGAATCTCCGAGAGACGCTGAAAAAGTTATTACTGATAATTAAACAGTTATTTATGGTGGTAAATGATTAAATCCAGTTGTTAAATACTGTCTAATGTGTGTGTGTGTGTGTTTGTGTGTGTAGCTGTAACCCTCCATGCGTCCCATACCTGGGCATGTACCTCACTGACCTGGCTTTCATTGAGGAGGGAACACCCAACTTCACGGAGGAGGGGCTGGTGAACTTCTCCAAGATGAGGATGGTAAAGATCTACACAATCCTCATAAAAACCCAATTGACTCTAAACCTCTCCCCTGAACTAAAGTCTTTTCAAAAACACAACAACAAAAGAGTTCTCAAGGTTATTCACCAGATTGTTTCTGTATTTTTAAACCTGGGCCCTATTTTTCACATATGTTGGTGTTGCAATGACTAGTAGGTACAGAAAGTTTTGAATCCGTGCTGTAGATTTTTCAGCTGAACCGTCAGCAGTGGCTGCAACATAGTCCTTCGTGTGATTGCGTCCGTCAAAATGTCGTCCACAAAGAGCGCTTCTTTTTGCCAGGCTCAGACTGTTATACCAGGTATCTGACAACATCAGGGAAAACGAGGGAGGGACTCCCAGTGAAAGTCTCTCATAAGGACAAGTCTCACTCTGAAAACGCGTGAGAGGAAAGTTGTTGAAGGAAGACGCCAGTGGAAACGTAGAGGAGAAGCTAGCAACGTTACTCCAACACAACAACTCTGACTCACATTTCCACTGTCGTCTTCCTGCTACTAACTAACTCGACACACAACTCTTTTTTTCTGTCAACATGGACCGTCACTTCCTGACTTTTTGTCTTTAGCCTCAGTCTTTTAGTCTTTTTTTAAGATCATTCTAACATTTAATATACGAAAGGATTAATCTATTTAATCAAATAATAATCAGGAAATAATTAAACCACAAAAGTTATTGTTAGGTGCAGCCCAACATTAAATCCTACCTTCATGGATGTTAAAATGTTCAGTCATCGACTGTACGTTTAGGACTGATTTTACAGGATTCCTGGTTTAAAACAAGTCAACTAGAGACGGCATTTTCTACTCAGTAGAGCTAAAGTTAGTTTAATTAGCCAGCTAGCTAGCTATACCAGCAACGCCACCAAACACAGTAGCAACACGTCCACAGACAGCAGTTGGTAAGCACATTGTGTATGAAATTTTTTATGAGACACAGATGCACAGAAGTGCTAATAAACAGTATAAACTACAGCTTTCATTAACTGTTGATACTCAGAGCAGCCATCTTGGATCACTTCCCATGTCAAATGGAGCGCACTATTATATTATATCCTCACTTGAACAAGCTGTCTATTAACTCTGTCTCTGCTGTCTCAGATTTCTCATATCATCCGGGAGATTCGTCAGTTCCAGCAGTCACCTTACAGGATAGAGCACCAGCCCAAGGTGTGTCTAATGAAATGCACTCTACCGCCTTTTATATGAACACAGTGGAACTATTTTTTTAACACAAAATATTCTGTCTGCTCTGTCCTCCCCCTTCCAGGTGACCCAATTTCTCCTGGATAAGACACTAGTGATGGATGAAGATACCCTCTATGAGCTTTCGCTGAAGATCGAACCCAGAGTACCACCTGGCTAAGACATGATAAAGCTGTTTTCCATCTTACAAACTCAGTCATGAGCTAACACAACTTGAGATTCTTTCTTAAAAAAGCAGGGGTTGTTAATAAAACACCACCAGTTATTGTGCTTAGGAAACTCAGGAGAAAATGTGCCTTGTTGTATAATAACCGACATATATGTATATTTAATTAACATTTAACACACACAACTCTGCCATACAATCCTACAGTTATGACTGTAGAAAAAACATGTTAGCCACTGAACATGGCACTAACTAGAAAGTAACCACGTTGTAAATACCAAACTATCTGCCTCTATAGTCTTGCACATAAACATTGTCAGACGAGTTTTACATTATTCGTTTGATGATGGCACAGAATATATAAAGAGAACTTGGAGGATGGAAAAAAGATAAAGCAGTAATAATGGATATTTTGGGGGGCCACTTGGGGACAGCAAAGCGGGATCTAAACCCAACACTGACATGTTATCGCAAACATTGCTTATTTAAACATCGAGCAAACATTAGCATTCCTCTGGAGTTGTGTTTCTGGCCATCTAATAACCCAAATATTCACTCTGTTTTTACAGCTTTTCAGTAAAAACCAGCTGAAAGATGCTAAATTGGATGATAATCCTCTGTGGCTTTGTTTCTACAAGTGACACCCATTGTATTGTATAAAATTGAGCATTTAGCAGCTAAAAAAAACAGATATTTCCCCTCAGGAGCTGGTGGGGACCAAAAACAGAGCTAAAAGGAGTGTGAATATTTGATTAAAATCGATTGTAAACACGACTCTAAATTAATTGCTTCTTTTGTGTTGGATTAGTAAATTGGCATCTTTACACAATATGTTAGTTTGTAATAATGTTTTAATGAGTTTGTTTGTCTCGGTGGCCAAAAAATCAATTATTGCTGCTTTGAAAAAATTTTTTTTGGACCTAAAGGCTTAAATGAAATACAAAGAGTAATTTCAGAGCGCGACACTCTGAAAATGTGTTTATTGTTTTAAAGCTGCTTCTTTTGTAATGATGTGTGTATCAGGGAAAAAGTATTTGTGAGTGTCCCAGCGGGGGTCACATGACAACTCTGAAACTGCCTCACAGGCCAGCTCTTGCTTTGGGGATTTGGCAGATATAACGCGATTTTGTCCCAAGGACATCTTCAATCAGGAAGTAAAGTATCTTAAAGCCCCTATCATATTAGTTTATACTGATCTTTAGTACAATGAAACAAATGACTACAAACCAATTTAAAAACTGTAAACCTGAAACATTTGGGGCTCCTGGGGGTCTAATCCTCCAGGGGAGTTGCCCACTTTAAGGAGTGCAGCTGGAGTACAGTTTAAAATGGACCTTAATACCTACCTTGGTGACTCGACACGAGATGTTGGCCCAGGTCAACATTTTTATATCTTTACTCTGTTAACACTACAGGTTTATGATGTTAGAGCAAAAAAAAAGTAAAAATCTTTGTAGTTTCTCACATTCCAAATCTGAAAATATGGTAATCTCAAATTTAAGATCTAACAAAAGCATTTTCCGCTGCAAATCATGTCGTTTCAGTCATTTTATACACAAAATGTTCCGATTTTGAAATATCTGCTTCTTTTATTAATTTATTTTTTTGAAGAGAGCGGGACTAACGGGTGTCAAACATGCTACAAAACTCTACAGTTAAATTTCTTTTACATGTTTCATATCATCTATTATTATTATTATTATTATTAGTTCCTTGTAAATGTCATCAATTAATTAATCATATTCATATTTTAAGCCTTGTTGTCTATATTAGTAATCAACCTGTTTTCATCCCAGGGTGTCACATATGGACACTTGGCGTCGCATTTTAAAATTAATCCTTGTGTCGCTTTCCTTGCGGGGGTTTTATCGCTGGACAACTGCTGAGTGTTCACACACAACGCGATAACCACGAATAAACACAACACGTGATTACTACAGTTGTTTGAACATTTTTCCGTGATTAAATTGCGATAAATTGATAAAACTGATGCTGAAATAAATACAACATGATGCAGATTTGTTTGACATATGAATTCATGCTTTGTCAGGTCTGTCAACGAGACAGCAGAGCAACAACTTCTAAAATGTTTGTTTTCTGAATGGAGTTCAGATCGATCAGGGCTATGCTAACTTGTTCACAGTAAATTACAACGATAGCTGGAGTAAAGTTAGACACACATTTTCTGAACTCACCATGTAGTTCAACCTCCTCACTTTCTTTTCTCCAAGTAATGTCCAGTTTTGTCCTGTTTTTATATAAATATGAAGTATTAGTCCAACTGAGCTCTGCCCACCGACGCTAACAACAACAGTGGAACCGGATGTGCACGGAAGCTGCTGAGACGCTCCAGTGAAGATAAATCAAAGCTGTAATCCCAAAAACTAAAAGGCAATTTAATAAAACCAGTTAACTCTGAGCTCCTCCCTCGAGTACACAGCGTAGTTTTCAGAGCGTAATCCAGCCCGACTACGGGTGTTTATTTGTCCAAAAGCTGCAGCGCTGCTCCGGGCCTTTTCTCCTACATCTAGTTTAGCAGCTCTTCGTCGGCCAGCGGCGTTTTACTCCCCGCTCTGCCTGGCACTCTCCAGAGAACGCTCTGAAGCAGTCAGTGACGTCCAGACAATCTCAACGCCATCGCAACATTTCTCGCTCAAGTTGAAAAATTTGACCTCGTGGGGCTCCGCGGTCAAGTTTGCGCGAATAAATATGCGACGTCTGGTTAGACTTTCAAAATAAAACTAGTGGTTAACGTTGTGAAAAGTCGCAATTTGATTAGGTTTAGGCACCAAATCTACTTGGTTAACTTAGGTTTAGGTAAAACATCACGGTTTGGGTTAAAATAACTACGTAACTTAACTAAAAAGAATTGATGTTCACACAGGAAACGAACACCAGCCTCCTGGGCTAGTTTCTAGCCCACCCATCCACCCCAAGCACCTCCTTACTCTAACTTTCTATTATTTATACAAAGCCTACTTTTAGCGGTGAACAATGATGTTAAAGGCTGCCATGTGCGTTGGTACCAGACCGCGAAGGACGTGACAAAGAGTAGGTGTTTGACGCACTGGGAATGAGAACGGGCTGTAGTAAAATAGCGATATCTTTGCATTTTTGATTTGTAAAGAATGTCAATAGATTCTAAACTTGTTTAAGCATGAATATAGCATGACGTCCCCTCTGTCCTCGTTCTTGTAGTTGACTGTAACAGAGTTTTATTCATTTATTTTCGGCACATTCCTGATGTCAGGTATCTTCAAACGCTTAAATACGTTAGTATATATTACCCTTGCTTTCTTACATTACTATATTCTTTCAAATTCCAGTTTTGCTGTTGTATTTTTCCATGCATTCCTCTCTGTAATGTACAGATATTTACACACAATAAAAGCAAGAAAGTGTCAATTGTAATGCAGTTACAAATTGTTCTTAAGGCGGCCAGAGTAAGATAACGGTTGGCCCCGAGTGCGCAATGCACATGCAAATAGTAAATTCAGAAAACCTATTCACCACTTTAATAACTCTTTCTCTATAAAGCATTGTGAAACACGCTAAAAGAACAACCAAATACAGAAATGCAGCGTAAATACAGAAGCATGATACTAATAATAAAAACACAAGCAACACTAGAGAAACGCTGCTAACAGAACTGTTACATAAGACGAAGAAGAAGGGACACTAAACTCTTGTTTAACATGTGGTGTTATCATGATCCGTGGAGTTACTGAAATCTGCAACCAGTGATTTGAACGTAGAGAAGACTAATGCTAGTTGTCCCACATATTTGTATATTAATTATCAGAATGTACAATTGAATTGCCGTACCACTGATAAATTGTCAGTAACTCCATGAGCCGTAAACAATTGCAAAAACTTGCGTGTCAAGTGTGTTCATCAGTTTTTAGCAGCCCCTTGGAAACTTCTGCAGCGTTTTTTTTTTTTATTTGCTTTTGTGTTCTGTATTTAATTGTGTGGTCGGTATTTGCAACACGTAGCTTTGTGTCTTGTATGTGAAAATGTTTACGTCATTACTATTTGCATGTGTTTTCTTAAGTTGCTGTGTGTAGAGCTTTCAGGGTCAGAGTGTGTGAGATGTATAGTAGGAAGAGATTGACTGTGTGTGGGGGGGGGGGCTTTATTTAATATATATAAAAAAACAGAATTCCACTATATTGTGGGGTCCAACAGCTTTACAGCCCCACAAGTTTAAAGGCTTTTTTGAGGGTTTTGGTTTTAGGATTTAGGGTAGAATTAAGGTTAGTGTTAGGGTAATGGTAAAGGTTAGGTATAGTTGTAATGAGTAAGATTAGAGTGAGGAGCTAGGAAGAGCATTTTATCAATGAGATTTCCCCATGGGGATAGAGGGAAAAAAACGTGTGTGTGTGTGTGTGTGGCTGCAGCTGAAAATATCAAGGTCAAACTGGACAGCAATATGGGGCCCTTGGTGGTCACGGTTAATCACGGCTCAACATGAGCGGTCTGTGCTGTTGTAGCTCATGCTGGTGGCCCTCCATTGGTTTATAAGGGTCTGTTTCTGAACTAATGATTGGCCTCCAGTTTATAATCCCACATGAGGGGGTGGAGCCCCCTGTGAGACCAGAGTGGAAGGCTCTTAAACCAGAGACCTTCAGAAAGAAGGCAGAGCAGCTTTTCTACAGGTACAGTACCTTTCTTTCTTGTTTCTCTTGCAGCAAGACTCCATTCATTTCCACTACTTGTACTTTCATGTCAAGCTTGTAAAATTATTTGCAGAGCCTGAATTAAAGATGGCGATAGAGCGTGTTTTGGCATGCCTTTGACATTTAAAGTTAATCAGGGGTTAACCTGTGAGTGAATATTTCAAAAGTCAAAATGTTTTGATAGGAAAGTGGATGGGAGGAAGAGGCAGGACGCTGAACTGATTCTGCAAAGAGTGAGGACAGAGAGAAAGAGAAAAGATTAGGAGTATTGAGATTTTAACTAGAATTTGAGCTTTGCAGGCAAAAATCTTTGTATGGCAGCTTTTTGGTGCCCTTTGCAATTATTAATATACATCTTTCCTAAATGTTTTATTTGCGATACTGTATGCACTGTTAACTCTGCTGTGTCCTCTGGAGAGGACGAAGCCCCTCGTACCTCCTGCACGTACTCACTCAGAGTTAAAAGGTCACACTAGTCAGGGGAGGGGAGGCTGATCCCAGGTCTGTAGTGGTTTAGGTGTAATCCTGATCATATGATCCACAGTGTCAGTTAGCAGTGGAGGCCAGAGCACAGGAGGCCCTGAATGTCTATTGATAATTATTTCTGGGGTGGCGATGTCACAGTGGATAAGAAACATGCCTTTGTTGTGAGAGAGCCCGGTTCAATTCCCGCCGTGACCCATCCACCAACGTGTCCCTGAGCAAGACATTTAACCCCTAGTTGCTCCAGAAGTGTGCGACCTCTGACATATATAGCTAAAAGCATCAGCTAAATGAATAAATAAATATAAATATTTTTAGTCTACACTTGACCTTTCTTTCTGAGCACATTCTTGCATTTCCATCCTGTCGCTTCAACTCCTGTCCTGATTTCTATCCTTATATCTCTGCTGTTCCATGTTCTTTACCTGCCTGTTTCCATCCCTCTGTCCTGCTGACTGGGCCTCATGGGGCTCTGGTTCTTGTGAACAGATCAAAATGTCACTGCGTTGTGAGCCAGAGATGTTTCTTGGCACTGGGTCCTGGCAGCACAACTGTCCTACTCTGATCTATAAATAATATAACCACGGAAGCAAAGCGTTCACATTCATGAACCTCCACAGACTGAGAGGGAGAGAAATCCTCTGACTTACTGGGTGAATGTTACTCCGCAGTTATCATTTCACTGCAGTGTTATAGCTGCAACAATTAAATCATTCGCCAACTATTTTGATAATTAATTAATAGTTCCCTGATTTCAGCTTCTTAAATTTACATTTATTAATTTAGCTGACACTTTTATCCAAAGCGACTTATAATTGCTATATACTATGTCAGAGGTCGCACGCCTCTGGAGCAACTAGGGGTTAAGTGGAGTTGAACCTGGGCACCAAAGGCATGTGTCATTTCCACTGATCCATCACCACCAAGTACTGCTCCAGACACTGATGCTTAACCAATTAAGCATAGAAATTTTCTTCAGTTTAGTATTGGAGTCAACGTGCCGTGACCAGGATTTGATCCCTCAACCTTTGAATCTGAAGGGCAAGCCCTTAACCACTGTGCTACTGAGATGCACGTAAATGTGAATATTTCCTGTTTTTTTTTACTCCTTTATGACTAACTTTATGAGTAAACTGAATATCTTTGAGTTGAGACATTAAAGGTGTTATTTTGGGCTTTGGGAAACCATGATCGACATTTTTCACCACTCTGAGATTATAGACCAAACAGCTAATCTAATAATCAAGAAAATAATCAACAGACTAATTCACAATGAAAATAAGCGTGAAATGCAGCCCTAATGCAGTGAAGCAGAGTGACCGGCCATATTTCCTTCTGATAAGGATTAACGGGAGAACTGACGTCCTTCCCTCTATTTTAAGACACCGTCTCGTGCACACTACCCACCCTCTGTGAAGGACAAGCTAGAATATGACCTTCCAGTCACAACAGGTTCAATAAGAGGTTTTAATTAAGGTTTTTTTTTTAAATCCATCTTCATGGACATTTAGAGAATATCAACATAAATCATACTTTTGCCAAACTGACAACTACAAACTGTGATTTTCTTCCTGAGCATTAGATCTTTCTCAAGTCGTTCTGTGAGCTTAAGACATTAGTGGACATATGAAACCTGCCATCCTGTGGGCGATAATGCTAAGAGGCTAAGAGCATCTGCCACGGCCCCTCCTCCTCTAAGCTCGTTACTGTATTAAACAAAAAACCTTGGTGGGAGGGGGTTCGTCAAAGCAGCAAATGAGAGGCAGTGTTTTCATTTTGTGCACAAATACAGTTCATTCAGAGAATTTTTAAGGAATTGAACATTTAATGCAGTTTTGGTTGAAAAAGGCTCTGCTGTCTGATGCGGGATTCTGCTGGAAGAACTAATCCCCCTTTAAAGAGGTGGTATTCTGCTTTTAGGCTTTTCCCTCTCCTTTATTGAGGTTATATATCTTTTTTGTGCATGTAATAGGTTTGCAAAGTGACAAAGCCCAAAGTCCAGCCCACTCAATCACATCCTCAATACAACTCTATGGGGAAAGCCCATAACAGTAAAGATGGTGGTTATCACGCCCCTCCCTCTAGACAGCCAATCGTCTGCTTTTGACAGCCAAAGCGGGAATCATATTTCAGCCAATCATTTGGTTCCACTGACGTAAGGGTCCATTATTCTTCTACTGCACATGCGCGCAAGTGGTGACGCATGCGTAGCAGAAGTACACCCGGTAGGGAAAAACGCCTGCAAGTCATGCCGAGTGGCATGAGGACTTTGGCAGCACACAGCTCTCCTCTCCCTTCCAAACACTAGCTAGTCAGTGCACATAAAGTTGTTACTGTGATGTAGAGACAGAGCTCAGTTAAAACTTGAAGAACTTGATGAAAGATCCTTTTGTTACAGATTAATAACTCTGAAACTCTTGCTCCAGTCCATGTTGCCAAGCTGGTCGGCATCATGTAGCCTACAGCTGAACCGAAGCAGTGTTTACCGGCTTCTCGCTGACCCGCCCTTCTCTGCTTCTGATTGGCTAGTAGTCCTTAACTAGGAACTGCACATGTTCAACTCCCAACAAAGATCATTTCAAGACAAGATGTATCACTCCATAGATAAAACAAAGCCTTCAACACAGGGTGGAAAGAGGAGCTGCAGCAATGTGCAGTATGACAAAAAGGAAATATGGTGTTTCTTGAAAACTAAACCATGTAAACCTGTTCTGGTACAACCCCTTCGAACCTGAAAATGAGCATAATACCACCTCTTTAAAGCATCAGTCGGTAACAACTGAACATACAATGCAAATCCTTCCATGTCTCTCTCTGCTGCTTGTATCTCTCCGCTAAGCCCCACCCACCAAACCCACAAGAAGGAGCCAGTTGACCTGGGAAACCTAAGGCCGAGAGCGTGACCCCGTGAAAGAGAGTGTCCCGGCGAAATCCATCTGCACAACTCTAGAAAATTGTTCCAGAAAATACTTTTACTGGCGAGCTAATCTCTAACATGCTAGGCATCCGAGAACATGCTGGTGCTAACACAGCTAAGAAGCTACAATAGCTTTCTCCATGTTGGACTCTCCGGCTCTCCATGTTGAAGGATGGTGCAAATCAAAATGTGAATCCACTGAGCGTGTCAGGTTGTACTGGCGGCACCGTACACCTGCATGAATATGATTGGACGAGATTAGCTGTCTGATAGCTGCACAGGGGTGAATAGGCCACTGATTATGATGCATGAGTGAAACAGCTAACGCTAGTCAGCTAATGTAGGTGAACACAAGGTTTTACAAATACACTGTCCCTCACCAACTGTCTATCTGTTTTTTCTCGTAGCTAATTTGCTACTGACAAAGAGTTAGAGAAAGATGGCGGGCTCTTTCACGCGTCTGATATCTGGCCGCAAGACGGCGGTGCTGTTGGCCAGCTTGGGAGCGGGAACGATAGCGACCGGCTTCTTGCTGAGCGAAAACAGCTCCCTGGCTGCTGAGGCGAAGAAGAAGCTCTATCCTCCCAGGTAAGACAGGTCAACACCACAGATGCAGCACGGAGGTGTTCAAAAAGGGGTCCACTCTCAGGATGGATGACCTTGTGAGTCCGAGCTCTATGATCAACTGTCTTAACAACACGGAAACTGACCACGTGTTTCACAGCGCTTGCACATTTCAGAACAATAAATCCTTGGTTTGTTTCCACAACAGAAGCAACGGAGTCAGTAGAGTCACTTGGACAGTTTATTCATAGCATGTAAAGGTGAAAAGTACCAAAACTGCACAGCACCAATAAACACATTTCAAGGATCAGTGTGTGAGCATGTGGACTGAGTTAGTCTGAGAGCATGAAAGAGCACAGGAGGTCACAGCAGCGTCACCAACGCTCAGGTTTCATCTGTGTTACCTTTGACTCTCTCTCTCTCTCTTCTCTCTCTCCTCTCTCTCTCTCTTTCTCTCTCTCTCTCTCTCTCTCTCTCTCTCTCTCTCTCTCTTCTCTCTCTCTCTCTCTCTCCTCTCTCTCTCTCTCTTCTCTCTATCTCTCTCTCTCTCTCTCTCTCTCTCTCTCTCTCTCTCTCTCTCTCTCCTCTCTCTCTCTCCCTCTCTCTCTCTCTCTCTCTCTCTCTCTCTCTCTCTCTCTCTCTTCTCTCTCTATCTCTCTTCTTCTCTCTCTCTCTCTCTCTCTCTCTCTCTCTCTCTCTCTCTCTCTCTCTCTCTCCTCTCTCTCTCTCTCTCTCTCTCTCTCTCTCTATCTCTCTCCTCTCTTCTCTCTCTCTCCTCTCTCTCTCTATCTCTCTCTCTCTCTCCTCTCTCTCTCTCTCTCTCTCTTCTCTCTCTCTCTCTCTCTCTCTCTCTCTCTCTCTCTCCCTTTTGTCTTTTGCACTATTTTTCTCAGGATTAACACTCACAAGCTTCTAATTAAAGCCGAGTATGAAACGTGCAAGGCTCTATTGAAACTGAAGGAATTATTTTTTTTCTTGCTTGCTTGCTTTTTCTTTTTTATGCGAAGTACACTCAATTTTGCACACAATTCCGGCAGGGCGAAAAATTCCGTAATTTATGGGATTTGTGCATGGGCGTGACAAAATGAATCGCTAGCGTCCCGTACAGCGCAGCCCCCAGACAAAGTTTGACCTACGTGTACGAAATTTCTGTGGTACGTGCAACCAGTCCAGACGTACAAAAAAGCCTCTTTGAGCAATGCCCAACACCCAACAGGAAGTCTGCATTTTTGGATTAAATGATCATTTTTGGCAATTTACACACTCTGTACTTTAACAAACTCCTCCTAGGGAATTAGTCCGATCGACTTCATATTATCGCTGTGCAGTCTAAACCCACTGACGATTATTACTGACGACCAGTTTGCCCGTGGCGTGTTGTCAAATCGATGATTCGCTATGAAACAGGAAGTTGTTATAACTTCAGTCTGCATGCTCACATCTGCACCAAATTTGGGATGCATTACAAGAGTCCCGCCCTGAACACATCCACATGCCAATATTCACTCAGAGTCATGTCTGTTTGCTAACAGGTTCACCTTCAACTTTATATGTTTAATTTTGCATTTGAAGTTTGTTGCACAGCGATGCCCCCCTAGTGGTCAACAAAATAATAAATACAGCTTTAAAGGCACACAAATCTGAATTTGAGACATGACTTGACTCAAAAGCCAAAACAATTTGTAAACGTAAAATCCAACCAAAATAAAAAGTAAAACAAAAGTAAAAACAACTCTGCTTAATAAAAACTTTAAAATCTTTCAAATGTAGCGCTGACTTCCCGGACCTGAGGAAACACAACAACTGCATGGCCTCGGCTTTGACTCCGGCCATTTATGCCAAACTGAGGGACAAGGTCACCCCCAACAACTGGACCCTAGACCAGTGCATCCAAACTGGAGTTGACAACCCCGGACACCCTTTCATCAAGACGGTGGGCTGTGTGGCTGGTGACGAGGAGAGCTACGAGGTAAGGGAGGTCAAAGGTAGACACAGTTTGTGTCTAAATGTCTCAAAACTCACTCTGTCTTCTTAAATAAAATAAACAATTTTGATTTGGGTCAATGGTTGTCATTTCTGCAGGGACACGTGCCCCCCTCACTTTTACAGTTTCAGTTTAATTTACTTGTTAAAATACCTCTGAGCTGTGTCCTCTGACTGTCCCAGCTGAATCTAAATGAGAGAAGATCTGAGTTCATAAAAATGCTTGTGTATGTTGCCTTCACTTATAACCGTGGCTCAAGGGTAATGAGCTTAATGAGCATCTTAGTGGAGGTCGTTGGGACTCATAAGGGAAGACTAAAAACTGGGGCTTAGAAAAAGTCCCTTCACCTCATGTGTGTGTGTTTTTAAAAAAACAAAACATTTAAGCTTTGTTTTATTTACCTGTAATATTCTCAGAAACAAACCTGGAATCGAAAATCTATCAAAAGCAGTTACAATGCAAAAACACATTATCTACCATGGGAGATCTCTACAACCGAGTATTAGAGCCACATCATTTTTTTATTAATGATGCATTTCAAAAATAAAGTCAACAGCATGAGAATAAAGTCAAAATGACGAAAATAAAGTTGAAATAAAATTTCGAGAATAAAGTCAAAATAATTTACTCAGTAACTTCATTCTGATCATGGTGACTTTAATCTCGACATTTCCACTTAATTCTCGACACTTTATCTCAAACTTCAGCTTTACTCTCATCATGTTAAATGCATCATAAATAAAAATCTTCGTCCTCAATTTTTTCCCCTTAATGTGGCCCTAACACACCTTTGTAGGTCTCGATAAATGAAGTTAAACATGATTTTAAGTATAGGTTCAAACAAATTTTTTTTATCTTGAAAAGAACAGGGTTGGAATTGTCGCCCTCCTTGCTCATAAAACCAAACCTACAACCTTGACTCTGTCTAATGTTCCCTCCAGGTGTTTGCTGAACTCTTCGACCCCGTCATCAAAGACAGGCACAACGGCTACGACCCCAGAACCATGACACATCCCACCGACCTGGATGCCTCCAAGGTGTTGACACCGTAACGCCCCATCACTGCATGACCCCTCCATCAATCTCCCTACATGTGTAAAACAATATTTTCTGTCTTGCCTGTATCCTTACCCCCATTCCTCCTCAACCTCCAGATAACCAGCGGCATGTTTGATGAGAATTACGTCCTGTCGTCCCGTGTCCGGACCGGCCGCAGCATCCGCGGGCTGAGCCTCCCCCCGGCCTGTTCGAGGGCTGAGCGTCGCGAGGTGGAGCGGGTGGTTGTGACGGCCCTGGCCGGTCTGAAGGGAGACCTGGCTGGACGCTACTACAGCCTGGGAGACATGACGGAGAAGGAGCAGCAGCAGCAGCTCATTGATGTGAGCCTTGTCTTGCCTTATACAAACCTAGAAAATCCTTTGATAAATCATGTTTGTTGACTCAAAGTCATAATTGGGGGATTTTAAACGTTCCTTAAAGCTCTTGCAGTCATTAGTATCAGCTACACCCAGGATTACATAAAGGTCCTGTTTCCACATTGTTTGCCCCACATTTAAGTTGATGGTGGTGCTTTTTTGGGTTATTTTTATATAAAATGATTTTATAAACGGCCTTTAAAATGTAATCTCTCAAGCTTCAAGCTCTTTTGTCTTGTGACCATAGAGCCCTCCTTTTTGCCCCGTGGGACCTTCTTTCAGAAAGAATATGTACGGTAGTCAACAGTGAGACACTTATTTATTAAGTTATGTTTTTATCCTGTTTGAATTGTGCCCTGAATTACACACATGGTGTTTGTCAATTTAAAAGTTAATTTAAGTCAAGAAAGTCGTAGTTTGTCGTAAAACAGTGTTTAGTTTTGTGTGAAATCGCAAAGTGAACTACATCTGTCGTCTTGCACAATATACGTCACCCACATGTTTTGTGTAATGCTAAGCTAACATTCATCGCTTGCTTGCTACTAGCTAGGTAGCTTAGCTATGTCCCACGTATAGATGTTTTTCACCTGATGTGTTTAATCCAACGACTCCTGGTCCTCTAATCACAGCATCTACACATGGAAGCTTTTTAACATTAGCTTCAGTAACATTAGTTTCAGAAACGTTTGCGTCAGTGACATTAGCTTTAGTCATTGAAATAAACAGTTATGATGTCACATGCACGACTTTTTGGGTTTGTGGGGGTTTTTTTCACTTCAACTGCAAACAGACACAAACTGTGACTTTCTTGACTTTCAGAATTATCTTTTAAATTGACAAACATCATTTGTGTAATTCAGGGCACAATTCAAACAGGATCAAAACATTTTTTGTTCTCTTGCAGTTGACTACTGTACATATTTTTTCCAAAATAAGGTCCCCTGGTGGTTTAAGGGGAGGGACTAGTACATAAAGATGGACAACATGACAGCCAGATCTGTGACATGGGCCAAACTGAAAAATCTTGGTACACATTAAATACATTTTTTATTTCAGGTTTAATAAAACATGTTGGCATCTTTAATTTGGAGGCCCACTCGGTTTACCAGTGGACTGCACTCTCTGGACTTTATCAAAAGTACAATGCTTAACTGCTGGACCTCTTAGGACATAAAGGATAAATATTTTAGGCCAGTGAGTTCCCAAATTCAAGCACATACACCTCTTGTTATCTATGGACGCGTACCAATCAGTCACATAGCTAAAGTAGGTTCACTTTTATTGACCACTCTGTTCTGATTATTTCCTGCTGCACTACACAAGGATCACTTCCTATTTGACAAGCCTGTGTCTCCATTACTCACCTCGGCCTTCATGGCCCGAGACTGGCCTGACGCCAGGGGGATCTGGTAAGGCCAACCCAGTTTAGTGAAATCCCATCCCAGTGCTGTTAGTGCTGCAAGTAATGAAAGAAAGTGCAATTTAATGCATTTCCATCTTGAAAGACCAACACCTTCTCCTATACTAGAGTCCTCCCTAAGCTTTATTCTGTTCTCTCCACCTCAGGAGGAATATGCAGTAGTTTTTTCAGTCCTTCTACTCCTTCTTTAACATCCTCCTACCTCTTCTTTCTCCTTTTACCTGTCTCTACTTTCCTTTTCACCTCCCACCTATAGGACCACTTCTTGTTTGACAAGCCTGTATCTCCATTGTTGACATGTGCCTTTATGGGCAGAGACTGGCCAGACGCCAGGGGCATCTGGTAGGGGTATATTCAGCTCTCATGCATGTCTGCTGTGTGACCATTTAGACTTTAACCTCCAGACTAGGGTTGGGTACCGTTTCAGTTTTATTGATTCTGATTTTATTATTATTATATCTTATTGAATATTGGGAGAGCACGACACGTTCTTCAGATTCACGCCGTGTTGAAGTAAACGCTTCGTCATGTTGGAGCTGCTTCCTCCCTCGCACCAAACCTCCTTACTGCTGGTGTTGCATTTTGCTCTGTCGTTCTCCTTCTTAGTGAAGCTAAGCTGGACCATGGTCCAGGAATGGAAACAGAAGGTAACAAATATTGTGCTGTTAGGTCGGGAACCGATAAGCAGAATCCAAATGCGCAGTTCTTAATGAATCCACAGCTCTCGGAAATTTGGTAATGGCCCCAACTTGGAACCGGTTCACAATACCCAACCCTACACCAACTTCCAAACTCTACAGTCCACATCATGATCTATGTGAGTGATTAAACGTGTAGTTGTTGATTTTTTTTTTTTACCTGGGGCTATATGAAGTACTGATACACAGTCAGTGCATATCCCCTGTTTGGAGAAGCACAGAGTTGTACAGAAAGCTAAGCAATGTCCTGTTGTGGGCAGGGTCAGGAGCAAAACGTTTTTAGCCACCTAAAAGAAGGCCCACCCACAAAAATCAGTGTACACTGTATTTGGAATATTTTCAGCGCTTTACCGTCAGACAGCCATTTCTTTGGAACTATATTTTCTCAACTAAGTGCAACTTAGCTGCGCAGTGTATAAAGGAAATAAATGTTTAACTGTAGGCTGCGTACTTAAAGAAATTCTAAATAAAGCATAGCATACATGACTACTCATAGATTTTTTTTTTTGAGTGGGCTTTCTTTTAGGTGGATAAATTACGTTTTTCTGCTGACCCTGTCCGCAGCTTAGCTTGCGTTGAACTCTCGGCTTCTCCAAACTGGGGACAAGCTGATTGCCATCTACTGCAGGTAATACAACAACTGCATATAAGTATCTCGTACAGCCCCACTTCAAAAATCCTGAGCTAGCCCTTTAATTTTTAAATATCTTTCTACATCCTGTGAAGCTCAATAAAAAGCATTCATTTATTGCCCTGCTTTTTGACGCATTTTGGTTTTTAAAAAAAAATACTTTCCAGGGGCTTAACCAGAACCAGACAGGAAATTGTTTTTGTGTTTTCTGTTTGGTGTGTATTGTTGCTTACAAAAGCATGTGTCTCTCACATACACTGTGGCACAAATTAATTCTGCAGCATCTACGAAATCAGGTCCTTCATGAGCATGAGTCATCTCCGATAATGAAAAGAGTGTTTTACCTGGAGAGCTCTTTATTTACCTCCTTCGGCTGGTTCTGCTCAGGCACAACAATGAGAAGACCTTCCTGATCTGGGTGAATGAGGAGGACCACACCAGAGTCATCTCCATGGAGAAGGGAGGCAACATGAAGAGAGTGTTCGAGAGATTCTGCCGTGGACTCAAACAGGTAAAGTGGAGTCTGTGAAATAAGCACAAATATAATGCAGGAACAGAGCCGTCTGATGATTTACAGAGCCAATAACAGCTTTTTGGCCACGTTAGCCACTGTGTTGCTTTAGACAGTCAGTGTTGTTCTGTCAGTCCACCACTTTGATCCAGTCTAAAATATCTTAACGACTATTTGATGGACTGCTATGAAATGACACTCATGGTTCCCAGAGGATGAATCCTGCTGACTTTTGGGATCCCCCCCTTTTTCTCTAGCACCATCATGAGGATGCCTTTTTTGTTTTTTAGTAAAATATTTTTTATTTTACTATTGGAGGGATTGCCAGGATTTTTGATGCAGACACCATGTTCCCCTGAAGATGAACTATAAATACTTTAGTGACCATCAAGTCAACACTTTGGTTCATCCTCCCATCAATCTCAGCTGTAGGCCTACTTTGTGTTTAGTGCTTTTAGCAAATTTTAGCATGCTAGCATTCATTACGCCTTTATCCAAAGTGAAATAAAATTGTCATATATGTCACACTCCTCTGCACTAACTAATTAATGGCTCAATAAATCATCAACTTGATTAAGATGTTGAACATGGTAAACATCTGCAAAGATCCTCACTCATCCAGGTCAAATTAATTCAAGTAAGGTTAAAATCAAGGGCAACCGGACTTGATTGAAGATGTTTTGCCTCTCATCCAACAGGCTTTTTCGAAATGCATTCAAGTATCTTCAACGAAGTTCAGTTGCCCTTGATTTTAACCTTCCTTGGATAACGAGGTAAAACTGCTAAACATCAGCATCGGAGCACGTTAGCATGGTGACATTTCAAAGAGCTGCTAGCTGCCGTAGACTCTTAAGAGTACGTCCACATAAAGCCGGCTAACTATCTTTTTCTCTCTGTGTAAATCTCAAAGGGGACCTATTTTTCATATTTTCTGGCATTTCTGTAATGTTACAATGTCAGATGTTCATGTTAAACATGACCAAGACTGCTGGCCACGCCCACACATTAACATGCAGCCCCTGTCACGATCGTGGTGTGGAGGCAGGTTGGAGGACCCAAACGCAGGACACAGAGTGGAGCAGGTATAGTTCAACAAGGGGTTTTAATAAACAAACAAAAGCGAGCACACTTACAGGTGAGTGGCTGAATAACAGAAATCCAAAATCCAAAAGTACAGGGAGACGAGACGAGACGAGACAAGCAAGGCTGGTTACAGGCAGAGAGTACACACACGACAGACTGGGGGGTAACATGAACAATGACCGGACAAGGACAAGACAGAAACACCAGGTATATATACACAGGGACTAACGAGCAGGGCGGGAGCAACACAGGTGACAGACATAAGACTAACGAGGCAGAGAGAGAGAGCAGAGGAAAACAGAGAGACTAGACATGACAAGCAGACTATATAACAGATACTGGACACAAGACAGGACAGAACCCAAAACTCAACATACCAAGGCAGATACCAAACTCAAAAGTAAACACAAAGGATGGCCAACCGGCAGAGCGTGA